AAACCCTTTCCATGGTGTGTATTGTTACATTTTAAGTTATATTCTTTTTTTTTTATACTAATTTTCGTTCTTCTAGCAGTAGTGAAAGATTTGGCTCAGAAGCGTCTGAAGTCAAATTCGAGCTTTAAATTTCCACTTGTCGTTGCCAGGTACTAGCTCTAAAATATCTCTTTTTACTGAGAACTCTTCCAAAAGGTGCAGCTGTGTGCTGGTTTCATCTTGCACTTTGTAGCTGTATTGGCAACCCTCGAACGAAAGGTATGCTCTCATCTCCCACATGTTGCTGTTGCCTTAGAGCTGTTCAGGCCTGTCTGTTTCAGGGAGAGGGACAAGTTCGCAGATTGGTGCGATCCCTGGTTTGTGGTTCATCTCATTGGTTCCTACTGTGGCAAGGTAAAAATAGAGATAGTGGAAAATCCAGCTTTTATCATGTGTCATCAGGTGCTGCCTTGCTATCTTGGAGACCCACTACCAGACTTGTGGCTAGAAAGAAGACATGAAAACTGTATGACAGCTTTTCAGAACCGTAATATTTTACAGACTCTGGAATTCAAAAAAAATCATAGGAATTTTGGGGAAAAAATGATTACTTTAAGTGAAAAACTGATAATGGATTGTAGAAAGGGGATCTACAAAGTTGCTCAGATTCTTAAGAGTGGATTTGGTTCTCCAGACCTCTGTGCTGTGCTACAGCATGCTTCAAAGCAAAAGATACTTTTGAAATCAGGTACTAAATGCAGGTTGCATGTGTGCTATTTTCCTCTTCTCTTTTCTTTTACTAAAACTGACCTATCTGAAAAGTTCTCCTTTCCCTCTGTAGATCTTAGTATGCATGCTGAGTTTTCTTCTGGAACACCTAATCTAAAATCAGGACTTCTTCAAGGATATCTTATATTTTGGCTCTGGGAGTCAAATTGGTTTTTTCCAAGATTAGGTGGTGTTCTCATCAGTTTAGCCTCTGTCATATCCTCTCAGCATTTTGAAATTGAAGGTCACTGTTCCCAAATTTGGCTGTCTTCTGTGTAAATGTTATAAACTGGCTTCAGCTATAAGTCCTGTTAGTCTTTTTTTTTTTTTTCTGACAGATGTGTGTTTCATGAGGGCTTTCGCCTTTAAATGAAAACAATTTTCTATTTTGTGCAAAAGTTGGGGAGTTTAAAGTACAAGTCAGTATGATGCTATGAGCGAATTACACTGGAGATGAGAAGGAAATCCTAGAACAGGTGGGAAGTTAAGTGATTTTAATTTGTTAATGCTATCTCCTATGTGCTGATGAGTGAATGGTTTCTTTCACCGTTGCTGAGTGGTATAACTGTGTGACTTAGATGTATGACTCTGTCATTGCTGCCGTGAGGGTAACTGCAGGTTTTGTGCCTGCCATTGTGTGTGTGTTTGTATCTTTTTGAGGTAGAGCTTACACTCACCAGTGTGTGCGTAGTATTAAGAGAGAGGTGAATATCCTGAGTTTTAAAATACATGAGTATTTTACAGTTTATGTATTTATGGAATAGAGTGTCATTATTTTAAAGGTTCTCTTCATATCTAAAAGTTCAGTAATGTCTCTGGTAGATAGAAATTTCCAGTTTTGGAGAAAAGGAATCGAGAATAGGGAGGAAGAGACATCAGAAATCCTCTGAACTCCTAAAATTTCAGGTTTTTTCCAATTGCGTGTTTTAGGGTAGCAGAGGAGTGTTGGAAAACTTTCCTTTTAACCAGTGCGATGTTTGCTTTACATACATGTGTTCTGTAGACATACTATAGATTTTGCGTAAAGGTAAATGCATAGCTTCCAAAAGCCTTTCACTTTCACTAAGAATATTATTGATCCAAAAATACTGTACAACAAAGAGATTCAGTAACAGATTATGATACAAACCTAGTTTATAAGAACCTACTTGAAGTGTAGATGAAAGGCATGGAGAGTCAGGTAGGTTGCAGGAAGAGGCATTCTCTGGTTAGGTAATCTGGGTAAGGTCTACACCCACCCTGTTCTTTATGTATCACGGAGACAAACCGTTTTCTGTGCTGTCTGTCTTCTTACCCTGCAAGGGCTTCTTCCCATGAACTGAAGTCTTCCCCTGACATTGAGTTCTCCTTTTTGCTTTGCTTGGACTCCACCCCTCATGTAGAAAATCTAAATCTAGTGGGAAATGGAATTATTTTTTTAAAATACACACCTTGTTTGTAGGTATTTGGAGTGTATCTCTAGCCATCACTTCAGGGCAAAGTTTGGTTAATGCAAGAAAACATCATTCTCTCTGCTGCTCAGTAGCCTGGATGGACCATCCATGAACTGCCGAGCTGTCACCTGAAATGTTTCAAATGTCTGTCAGGTTTGACTTCCATCCTCTGTCTCCATTTCTCCTTCTTTGTCTCTCCTTTCTTTCCTCAGTTTCAGTTTAGTCTGTTGACTGTTGCACGCTGCCTCCAGCTGGAATTATGAGATGACCATCTTTGTTCAGAGGTGATGCAATTTCATTGCTGTTATGCAAGAAGGAGAAGGGTACTTAATGTAACTAGCTACCTAAGGGAGGAGAAAGTTACTCTCATGAGTAAAAATATGTAAACTCTGTTCTTAAAACCTGTTCTTCCTCTGCTACCATGTAAAACATGCATTTTGTGCTCTTAGCATTCTGTGAGTCTGTTAGTATCTTATAATTTGAGTATTTTCACAGCATACTCTTTGATATGACTCTGATCTGATCTTTCATTTATTATTTCAATAGATTTGCCCTCATCATAAGATGGATTCATAGTTTGGGGTTGAAAGGAACCATTTGATCTGAATATTACAAATCAAATAGTCTGTATTTCAGCACGCCTCAGCAGAGGCTGCTTGGAGTGCATTATCTTCCATTTGAGCCCAACTTTTGTTTCATAAAGCAGATACGGTGTTAAGCTAAAAGAGATGTTCTGATGGAACCTGAAAGTGGTTTGAAGATGTAAAGAGGTGAAAAGTTCATTCCTTCCCCGAGCAGCTTGTTCTGCATTAATAACTATGCTTGGAAATCTGGTGGTCAGCTACACCTATATAACATGTGCTTTCTTTGAATTTAGCTTTTGATCACAGTGTTTCACTAAGTCAACTATCTGACAGAACTTTAGAGTTTGTTACGTCTACTTGTTTGCATTTTTCAGCTAACTATGGTGCCACCAAGGAAGGAAGTAGTGTGGTTTTTAACAGACCCTATCCTCTAAAAAGATATGCAGACAATCCTTAGTTACAGTGCTGTCTTTTATTGCTTTATCATATGAGTCTAATATAATGTTTTCCTTTATTTTGCCTGGGGCTGATAATGTAACTAGCGTGTAGTCATCTTACTTGTCCTTTCCGAGTGAGGATCGGGCATTAGAACTCTTTCGATCCCCAGGAATTGCTCTGATTTTCCATGCGTCATTAAAAAGCAACATCAGCAGGCCAGAGATCTGCTTGGGCAACTCTTCTGGGACTCCTGCATGCTCATTTTCAGGGCCTCTTAAGTTAAACTGTTATGAGTAACAGATGTTTTTCTAATGTCCTTCTCAGTTATGAATGGACTGGAAAGTATTCCATCATTATCAGACCATCATTCTGCTTCTTTTTGCACGGGACATGTCTCAGTGTCCCAGTATGCTCCACTTCCATTACTAGTTTGTAAATAATCATTTTTTATGTCTTTCATTTCTCTCCTCAGTTTTCTGCACTACCAAACTTGTGTACCTTCCTTGCTGTCCTACCACTTCTGAATTGTTTGCGTTTTATAAAGTTATATAATTGTTGCTTGCACAATAGAGTGAATTCTCAGCCAAAATGGTCTGCTTTCTCTTTTTCAGTTGTGGTATATTAATTTTTTGGCTATCTTGAAGTTTTTCATTAAAAACTCTCTATTCATATTTTGCTGCTGTGATTTTTTTTTTCTTTTTCTCCTTCTACTTATTTATCCTCATAATGTTGTTCAGTTTCAGAATTCGAGAAATATAGTGTGTGTGCATGTGTGTGCATGTTTGTATAGATATGCATGCAGGCACATATGTGCATGTGCGTTTAAGAATTACTCTCCATTTGTCCATGGTGTGTTTAATCGGACAGAGATCACCATCGCTTTAGGCAACTGGCAACTTTTACTGCAGCGATTAAGCTGTGTTTATCAATCATAATCCATCAAACTATGCCAGATGTTTCTGGCAGTAGTTTAATAGTATCTTTATGTAAACATTCTTGCTTTCCAAGAGTTAAACAGGACCGCTTTAAAACTTTTGAATTAGTCTTTTGGCAAAGAGAGCACACTTAGAGATAGATCATCCCTTGCATCACAGAGCCAGAACGTGACTTTACGCAGTATGTTCTCTCCATGAAGAAACTGGATTGCATGAAAACTGACTTTGTGTAAAATCCGCATGCAGGTTTGTTTCAATCTGGAAAAGGTCCCTTTCTGATGATACCACTGTTTATTTTTAACCAGTCATTGTAGAAAAGAAAATTCTCGCTTCAAGAAAACTATACTGTTACAGTGTTATGCTTGAATATTGAAACCAAACAGAAATGACGGAACTTTTGTATGAGTGTGAAATACTTGTTTCTACTGCTGTTTCAGGCCTTTGTAAGTCTGTTTTACCCAGGGGATCAGCAGCTCCCAGATGGTGATATGTTTAGCTCCCTCATCTGGTGCACTCTGGATGTAAATGTTTTAGACCAAAAGATTTTTTTTCTTTTCTTCCTTGCATTGTATTTCTGCCCAGCCATAGACTGCAAACTTTTATTGTCTTTTCTTTTCCTACACAATATGGAGAGGGATTTTAGGACTGACTGAGGGTCCCCAAAAGAAAATGCTATAAAAATGCAATTGTCATCCTTTTCATTCAGCTTTCAGATTACTTGTGGAGTGTTCTTGTTTGGGCCTGACAACTGGGATGTTTCTTCCATACTTCAAAATTAACTGGTTGCATTATGTAGCATGACTTTAATAAAAAAATTGCATTCAGCTGTAGCTTGGCTTATTTTTCTTCTTTTTCTTTTACAGCTTTTTCACTTCCAGATCTTTCGGAGCAGTTTGCACCTCCTGAAGTCGCTCCACCAATTCTTATCAAGATAGTGGAGATGATTGAAAAGAAAGGTAGGCTGAAGAATGATCCACCAAGATTTTTTGTTACTTACATAAGCCAAGACTGCAGAATCAGATCCAGACCTAGCATCTTCTCTTTCTAGAGCTGCTAATGTATCACATTTCTCAACAGATATGAAATAATCTCATTTAAGGTTTGTTGCATTGGTGTCTGCTCAGTAGAGGCTACTTGGACTGTAGGAGCAAAGCCAAAGCTTACCTCAAATGACATTTAATCACTAATATAAGTATTGTTGAAAGGTAAGGGAGAAAGGTTTGGTGTTGCTTTATTCTTACTAACTGATAAGCACCTTAAGTTGGTTATGGAAATGACATAATAACATTTAATTGGATACACAACCAAACAAGTAATGTTTTGCCCCAAAGCATGGGGAAAAAAAAAATGAATTATGAAAAAGTTACAAGAACTGTTTTTATGCTTCAGGAAGCAGTTCTTTATTGCTGTTGTATGCTGAGCCCAGCCAGTATTATTTTTATGGTTTTTTGTTCTCCTGCTTTCCTATGTTGATCTCTCTCCATCCTTTTGAGGCTTTCCACTTTCTTATACTATGTCCTGCCTCTGTTGCCCTATTTCTGTCCTCCCGGCTCTTCCTCTGATGTCACCTTTGTAGTCCTGGTGAGGTAAGGAGCAGCTCAGTGGGTCCTGCTCATTCAGTGGTCTTACAGAAAGGGAGGAAGAAGGAAAGTGGTATCCTTGGGCACATGAGAGGGTTCTCACATACTGCTCTGATACTTTAAGAGGGGGTTCTCATGTACTGCTCTGGCACTTTAAGAGAGCACAAGCTTTTCCTGAATGAGTAGGAGCTTGCTAACATCAATGAGAAGGGCCAGCCTTAGCAACAGTTTGCATAAGCAACCACTGCTTCCAGAAAACATCACTGATACTGTTAAATCATGGGTACTCTGCATCCCTGGGTATGGTCTCTTTCCTTGTGTTTTCTCTATTTTCTCTGAAGTTGTAAGCAGTATCTTTCACATGAAAACACTGTATTGGTGTCTTTTATTCAGGTGGATTATCAGACATACTATGTGACATACAGACACTTTCTCTCACACCAACGATGTGACACTCATCCTACATACACTTTGAGGTTATGGGCTCTGCGGATAGTTAATGTGACCTAATGGTTACCTGTCCCATAGAAGGGGCTCTCTGTCTCTGTTGACTGCATAGGGAGCCAAAGGTTAGGCACACTTCTAACTCAGAAGTCTCAGTTAAATCTTTAAAGCTAGTTAGGATGTGTCAGAACTTTTGTCATGTCCCTGTCCTATTCCTGTGGGGTGGCCTCACTCAGGTTGCTCACTTCTCATCCACCTGAAAGACCTGGTGTTTCCAGCTGGCATGTAGAGTGTAAAGGGAGATCTAGCTCCCATGTTGCTCCTGCAAGCTGTTTTCTTCCCTGGGGTATATGAATCTGTTTCCTAGGCCTGGCCTTCTACAGCCAGGCTTGAGGAGAGTTGTATGGAATATGTGGGACTGCTGGCTTCCCTGATCTGCAGACCCAGCAGTTTGCATGTACAAAGAGGTGTCTTACAGCCTTAAAAAGCAACCACATTCCATAGTGTGGTAGGCGGATGGTGGTGGGAGAATGTTGCTAATTTATACTGTAAGTACTTACTTGAAGAAAACGGAAGTATGTTGTGTCATGGCAACAGTCACTGGATTATTAATGTATCCCATCGATTTTGTTTTGAAGGCCTGGAGTGCTCAACTTTGTATGGAACACAAGGCTCAAGCAGCTCAGCAGAACTAAGACAAATCCTTGAATGTGGTAAGTACAGTTCTCTTCCTTAAAGCACTAGACAGATTTTGTGGTCAGACTGCTCCTCTTTTCTTTGTTTTCGTACTCAGCTTGTATATATGTGCTGGTTCTGAATAATGTAATATTAAAAAAACAAATAGAAACCTTTTTTACTTATAACTTTTACACTTAATATGAAAGGTATTTTTCACTTTTACAGGTTGGCTTTTTCTTCAAGCTCCACTGCACGTTTTTTTCCAAGACTAATTGTTTTAATCGTTTCTTGGTCACTTCCTTGTTCAAGGACTCACAGTCTAGCTGTACAGAGAAAAACAAGGTGTTTTGTTCAGAAGCAAGATAAAGAGACACTATTCCTGTAAGGCTGCAGGTTATTATTTTGTAAACAAATGGCCATTTGTTTACATACAGTTCTGTGTGTGCATTTTTTTGGTCCAGTAGGTGGAGAGGTGATGGCTGCACATTCCCTCCCTTGCTGCAGTAGGCTGGGTTCACAGGTTTTGGAAAGTAAAACGCAGCTACACCACTAACACCACATAGCCGTTCAAGTTGCCTGAAATATATTTCCTTCTCTTTTTGGTACTGTTTATTTCTACTTCAGGCCAGAACATACTGGCATGGCAACACTCAGTTGCACTATGAGAGATCAGGAGATATTACAGGAGGAGTGCTTGACCACGCCTTTGTGAGCTGGGGTGCAATGTGGGGTGTGAGCTTCTACTTGCATAAAAAAGCACAAAAATACAGCAGCTAGAAAATGAAACTGGTTACATGCCACGCTGCCAAAGGGACTAAAGAAGCAAACTCAAACTGTGAATTATCTCTCTTCGTTTTTAGTAATTGCAAATATTAACAAAATGAACAAGAGATGATACTATGAGTTGTCTGTTCCTTCAAATCAAAAGAGCATCCTGTCCTCTGGTGATTGTGGTGGGAATGAGGAAGTGCATCAGTGCAGCGAGCAGGGAGAGGGTATGTGCATGTGGTGCTAGGCAGCCTAAGCCATATTTTTAGTATTGTTGTTATACTTTTAAGCCCAGATAAATACAGATTTTCTATAGCACCAATATGAATGTATCTCTTAAAACAGGACTTTACCCTTTAGTAATACTGTATCTTTCTGAGTTCTCTTTAAGATAGGATCAGAATCTTCTGCGACAGAACCGGTGCAGTGGGTGACCAGATAGATGCATACAGACAGATTTCATCTCCTCCGCCTGCCGTCTTTCAATTAGCAGAGTGCTAATTCAGAGACCGAAGCTGGCTTTGGTCTCAAAGTTGTGAACTGCCTTAGTGTGGTGTTCTGCTTATGGTTCAAATGCTCTCCATGTTAATTGGATAACTTCCTGTTACCTTCAACACAGTGCTATCTAGCTCCAAAATCAAAGCTGACTTGCATCTGGCCAGCTCAGCAGATGGAGGACTTCAGGTCTGTTTAGGACATTACACCCAAAGAGTTGGAGAGCACCACAAGTTTATTCTTAGCATATATTCATTATAATAATTTGGGATTTACTTCAGAGAATGGGTCAACACTGAAAGAATCAGGATTTAACTTGGCCTATGAAATAGAAAACATCATGTGAGCAACAAAACTAATTAAAACTATTTCTTATGAATTTGTGGTTGGATTCTCTGACACGTAATTGCTCGTGAAGAATTCATACCCACACTGCAAGTTTTTTATCATCTGAGCCATTCATAGTGTCTTCTTTTCTCATGTAAATTCCTTGGTGTCTGATAAGAATTGAGCTCATACTGCAAGCCTTCTTTTGGGGAAAACAGAAGGGAGGTGGAGGAGCACCAAGTTCTCACTACCTCTCTTGACTGCCTATTTTCATAGTATGTGTAGACACACTGCATATCTGATTACCTCCTTGTTGAATTTGGTTTATAGTGGCCAAATAGATTCAGGAGTTATTTTACAGAGGATTTGGCTAACCTAGAAAGTTGATCAGCATTAATACCCCTAAATTCTTGTACCAAATGTGGATCTTTGTAAACATTTAGGACTTTACTGCACCGAAGTTCCATTGAACCCTAGTCTTGCTTGCACTAAGTGAGCATTTCTGTATTTTCCTATTTTTATTTTTGCTGCTGATATTCCTTGCTCCAATGCTAACAAGTAATCCTTTATGTGACACTCCCAGACCTTAGCCCAAGTCATAACTATCCTGCAAGGATATCAGGTTTTACAAGATAAATCCTAACAGCTGCATAAACCACCAAGCACCCAGTTATGCACGTGTATATTTGTTTCAACTTTCTCACATAAATATTTACAGACTTGGAGCCCCAAGTTGTTAATCAAAATTCCCGTCATAATAGAATTAGCTACCAGTAGAAAATCTGCATTTGGCAAACCCTTTGTTAATACTTATTTCTTACACAAAATATTTACAGGTAAAACAGAGACCTGTTAAAATTATTCTGATGTTCTGTAACATTGCTGACATGCAGCAAGTCACTACCGTTATTCTGAGTTTGTCCCGGTGCTGTGTATGACAGAAGGCCACACAGCTGTGGAAGCCATTTGGTTCATCACATGCCAAAGGCTTGGGCATGGTGTTGAGCGCTGTATGTTCTTCATCTCTGAGATGTTTCTTGGTGTCTTACATTCTTTCTTAGGAGTTGTTCCCCATAACCCATGTGTAAGTTAGCAGTTTAGGCTTGGTATAAAGCCCTAATATCATGAGCCTGTATATTTTTTTCCAGTTTCTTATCACAGAATCGCAAGGGTTGGAAGGGACCTCGGGAGATCATCTAGTCCAACCCCCCTGCTAAAGCAGGTTCTCCTAGAGCATGTTACACAGGACTTCATCCAGGCGGGCTTTGAATATCTCCAGAGAAGGAGACTCCACAACCCCCCTGGACAGCCTGTTCCAGTGCTTTATGCCTAAAAAGTATGTTACTTTTTCCCTATAGATGCTTCTTCGTTGGATTTAGAGACATTTGATGTGCACACTTTATCAGATGCTCTCAAGAGGTATCTCCTGGACCTGCCAAATCCCATCATTCCAGCAGCTGTTTACAGTGACATGATTTCTGTAGCCCAAGGTATGATTATCACATTATTTCAAATGTCAAACAAAAAAGCTTTTGTTAGGATTATGAATAGCCAGTGGCCCAGCTGTCACCCACAGAACAGGGAGGATTCTGCGCAACTTGGCAACATCTCAGAAAACATATATACCTTCACCACTTCTGATGAAAGCTGCTTCAATTCAGATCTAGACATGCATTATTTACTTAGATATTTAGGTAAACATAATGGAAAATATAAGGGATAACACTGTTCTCTTCATTTTAGTAAGTAGAATGACTCAAAAAAACTGGGGGGAAAAATCAAGGACTTATCTGTATGCAGAAAGCTAATTTTTAACTTTTTATCAGTGCTGACAAAGTAAATGTGTTGGAGGTCATGGTGTTCTGCAGTATGTTCGGAGTTGCAGTGAAGTGAGAAGTACATGCATGTAAGATTCACCATCTACAGTGGTCATTTCAAACCAGTACAGCTTACAGGCTTTCAGCACGTGGGCCAAGTATTCTGTTATATATCTCAGGACAGGATATTGTTACTGGTAACCTTCAAAGTTAGAACAGCACCTGTGAGACTTATCTAGTGCATCTCAGAATTACCCAATCATGTGTGACGCTAAACACAAGACAGACTTCTGCCAGTACACTCTGAACACATTGTGGTTTTTACCAAAATGCATATCTGTTTCCATTTGACTTTTAAATACTTGTTCTTTACTCTTCCCTGAACATTTCACCATTTTCAAAAGAAGAAAGAAGTCTTACGGCATTAATGAAGAACAGAATTACTATTTTTTTTCTGTAAAATTGATGTGTCTAAAGGAGTCATATATAGTTTCATTTTACTTGTAGAATGTTCCTGTGGTGATATCAAGAGCCTTTTATCTGTTTGCTTGCAGAAGTGCAGAGCTCAGAGGAGTATGCTCAGTTGCTGAAGAAACTCATCAGATCTCCAAATATACCTCCCCAGTATTGGCTCACACTCCAGTATTTGCTCAAACATTTCCTCAGAGTTTGTCAAGCCTCCAGCAGAAATCTCTTGAATGCAAGGTCTCTGGCTGAAATTTTCAGCCCTTTGGTTTTCAAATTCCAAATAGCAAGGTACGTGGGTCATCTTTATTATGTTTTGTACTGTAAATATGGGTTAGCTACTTACAAAAGTAAGTTTAATGCATCGATTTCCTGACTTTACTTCTATGGTGGAAGACACTGTTTTAAATTTTTCCGATGTTTTTTGAATAATTCTCATGGAACACTTTTGCATTTTTGCTAGTTCTTACTGTCTAATCCATCTCTTGCAGCTCTGATAATACTGAACATCACATAAAAATTCTGGAGGTTTTAATCACAAGTGAATGGAATGAGAGACAGCCTGTACCAGGTAAAAACTATTTTTAATTTAAAAAGTTATATAGCATTGTTGTCTTAAATATTAAAATTCAACTGAAGGACTGTAAATGCTCATTGTTTTTTAATCAAGCTTAATGCAAAAGTGCATGATTACAGAACTAAGTAGAAGCTGTTCATATGTTCTACAGCAGTGTGCAATATTTGTTTTATGAGAAATTGTCTTTTTCATTAAAATAATTTTAGTACCCATAGTTGGTGCAGCCTTAGCACTTCCATTTCCTTTTCCATAAACAGTGAATAGGAATTTGTGAATTTTTAAGACCTGTAAACCAATGGAATGTATATCATACAGTGGTGGTGTTGGTGGGGTAAATTCTAGAGATTTTATTTAACTCTCACTCCCAGGCAAATTTCCTTAGAACTACAATACCTCACAGAGATCATAAGAAGAAAGTAAGATTTCCCCCTTTATTTACGTATATGTATTTTTTAATCCAGAGACACAAAAGGTTTATTCATCAATATCAGTAGACCACACAGAAAATATTAAAACCCCATTCAGGAAAGTTTGATTATACTTGTGATTATTCTGTGAGTTAGCTTCTAATTTAGTCAACAAACAGTAAAACCCAACTCTAATTTATGCAGAAATCCCAGTTTTTAAAGCACGTATTTGGTAGGAGCAAGGCAGAGTTGCTAACTATGTGCAAAGGAATTTATTAATGCAGGGGGACTTTAGATGTTAGCTTAGAGTAATTCCTTTTACAGCTTATTAACAGAGAATATCCGAAAAAAGGATAGGATGATGGTGAACAGAACATGGGTCAGGCTGTAGCTCTCCTGCCTCTCTATTCAGAGTACAAGGTAAAGTTCATGGCAGTAGGATTTATAGGGCTGCTTAAGATTTGAAGAGCTAGAACACAGTAGCAGAAAAGCAGCAGCAGAAAAATGCCTTATTTCTCATTTTTCAGGTAGGAGCATTGTATAATCCCGTTCATCAACTAATGAAGATTAATTTAAAATGGCTAAGATTTTTGTTCCTACTTCTTTGATTGGAAGGCTTTTCCAACCTTGCCAGCTCCATTGTTTAGGAACCTTTTCCTAGTGTTTAGTGTAGATCTGTTTTCAAGTAGTTTATACCCATTTGGTTTTGTTCAATTTTGTTAAAATAGTCAAGCAGGCATTTCCAGAACCACTGTGTATTTGTCTTCCTAATGCTTCATAACAACCAGGAGAGTCCAAATTCATCATAACTATTTGTCCTGTTTTACTAGGAATCGGCAGCTCTGGTATAATAATTATTGTTAAAAAAATATTTTCTTTGCCACCTGTTACAAGCCTTAAAAAGCAAAATATATTATTGAATCCTCTAATATTCTAAAGAGTTTGCTAATAGCATTTTTTTAAATTACATGTTTGCAAATGCTTTAGAGTATGTAAATTTATATGGTTGGAGGCACTGATTGGGAGGTTACAAAGGTAGGGTCAACAGTGAGAGTTTTTTATGTTTCAAAGTGAGAGTTTCTTAAGTTGCACTTAAGAGATCACTTGGTTGTATATCATCTTGGGTTGCTTCATATGATGAAAGTATAAAAGTGAAATGTGCTGATGTGAGAACTACTAATGAGGATGAGGAGTCTAGTCATCTTGAGAGTATCATTGGGGCACTTGAAGAAATGCGGCTGTGTCCATCAGATTTATCGGGTTTGACACTACATTAATAATTATAATCTAACATCTGCTTGGTTTTAATATTGCTTCTGCATTAATTAATGTTTTGTAATGCAATAGTTTATTTTGACGGTCCTCCTGGGATTTTTCCTATGATCTGTTACAAAAATAGAACTCCTTCCCTGTGCATTTCAAATTCCATCCTGGGCAGTGGAATGGTTTTTAGTAGAACATTTGCATATTTATTAATATGCTGAAAAAACCTCAGATACAAATTTTCAAGCTGGTTTCTGTTCTTAGACCTGTAAAGCACCTCAATAATTTTCAAAAGTTGAGTCTTAATAGAATGTTATGTAGGTTTACAGGATTAGGACACGAGTCTGTTTTCTACACCAAAATCACTCAGTGACCTGATCATCTGAAATGCTCTGTTTTTATAGTTCTCACAGAAGACTCTAAGATGTATTTTTCAGAATTATCATCTTCAAGATTATTGCTTGTAGTGGCTTGAGTTTCCATAAAAATCGTTTAGAGACATTGTAATAAAAGGAAGATTCCTAGAAAAGCTAACTTACTTTATAAGTGTTCTGAGAATGACAATTATAATCAAATTTTTGAAGTGCAGAAGTTAAGAGGTTTTAAGCAGAAAGAATCTTGCTACTTGAAAATAATGTAATGACAACTAAGCCACAACAGGAAAGCCAGTCCTGCCAGGTTTCTTCTCCTTTTCACAGGCTGGAGCGATAGCTTCCTCATTTCTTTTTTCTTGCTGTTATTCTCAAGCCTGGATGAAAACATTCTGTCTAAAATGAGCTGGGCATGAAGTTTTAGTGGTATCTTATACAGCACATAGATGCTTTAAATGTAGTGTTGGAGATAACTAACCTGAATAGGGAAGAGGTCTTTGCACAACTGTGGGGTTTTTTCTTATCCCATCACCCGCTAATTATCCTCCTTGCCTCAAAGCAATACAAAGTATGCAGTTGGACCTTATATCTTAGGATATCTCAAAGTTAGTATCTTAAATTGGGCTTCTTTAATTGGGCATCTTATAGCTAGAGTGATACTTTCTATACTGTAATGCAAAACCAGGGGTTACTCCTAGGGCATTATTTGATTTGGTTTTGGGTTTGTTTTTTTTTTTAATCACAGAACAACTCGACTGATTTTTTTTCCTGTCACAGTGTTCAAGAGTAAACTGTGCATTTTTAGTTTGTGAATTAGAATAGTGCTTAGCCCCCCACAACAGTTAAAATACTAAAGTTAAAATGCCTGTTGTGCCTATGTGCGTAGTAGGTGAAGACAATGTTGCAGGAGAAGTAAGTTTGGCGAAGTGGTTGGTGTTCTGAACAACTGTTAACCAGATCCATTTTCTGATTCCTGTCCATTCTTCGAGAGACAAAAGATGGTGGCTAGTGGGCAAGCTAGGTGATTTAGCATCCCGTTTTAACACTCCAACTTGATGAACAGCCACACAGGCTTTAATTTAAAGATCAATGCTAATTTTACGGTCAGAAACAAAGTGCATGTCTCTAAATACGCTATTCAAAACAGTACTATTAGAAGAAAATACCTTAACTGTGACAGATTGTAGCTAACAGTGCTGATTATGTCTCTCAGAACCTCACACATCACACAGAGGTGTGAAGGCGCATGTGCTTTTAGAGGTAAATACTGGAAAATAGGCTATATTTGTAGGTATAGAAGATGGGATGGTTTTTCCAGTTCGTTTTCAAGGCTTGTAAAGGCTCCTGCCTTTCCTGCCTGGAGGAGGCCTGCCCTGGGTGCAGGTCCCAGAGCTGTCCATGAGGCCCGGCGGGTGCTCAGTCGGTTTGGAGCTGGTAGCTGGGAAGGTGTTCATACAGAGGACAGCGGGAAGGATGGGAGAGCTGGGAGGGGATTTTCGGGGGGTGCTCAGGGAGATGTGGGGGTCCTTTCAGGGTCAGAAGCTGTTAAGGGTAATGGAGCAGCTTTGGGTGTGTGAGATGAAGGTGTGCCTTATCGCAGGAAGGCAGGGAGGAAGAGGACGTGGTGGGAAGGCGAGGGGACATGGTGGCAGTGCGGGCGGATGGGCTGGTGAGGAGCAGAGGAGGAGCTGCTGCAGCAGTGGGAAGGAGCTGCCGTCCCGTAGGGATGAATCGAAGCCCTAATGGCCTGCGCACAAACTCAACCTGAGCTGCTTCCTCTAGACTGCCTATCCCAGTTCACTCCCGTTTTCCAGGCTTGTAAATAATGTCGTAAATAATGGCTTGAGCTGCAAAATATTGCAGTCTTAAGCAGGAAGAGGTAGGTTTTACTACTCACAGGGTCATAGCTAAGAACAAGTGGGCAATGAGACTGCCTTACACGTAACCGCTCACTTTTTGGGGATAGGGTGAGAGTCCCAGCAGCATGGCGAAGATGCAAATGCTTTGCTTTTTGGCTGCACAAAACATTACCAAGCGTGGCAGCATTCCCCCTGGAAGCAGACACAAAGCTGCTGCCCAGGACAGCCGCGGCGGTTGGGCTCAGCCCGCGGTCCCGTCGGCTGTGCCTTGGAGACACAAACAAGTATGTCGGAACGCTGTCCCTTGTCGGGACTTTCCTGCGTGATGTCACGGGCTTGGCTGGACTGTCAGCAGCGCCGAACGTGGTTTGGGGGGTGCAGAAGGCAGCCGGTCCCGGGGAGAGCTGACATCTCACCGGAGGGACATTGCGCATCTGCACGTCACCCGGCAGAGGGCTCCCCTTCTAAGCGAATGGAAATCCAGCTTCGCACCTGATGTAACGGGGAGCAAAATGCCTTGTTCATCACCGTGCCTGGGAACGCTGCCTTCTTGGTTTAGGTTTTGACAGCAGTCGATGCTTTATCTTTCTTGATACCTAATTGAAAGGATTTGGTGAAACTGAAACAACACGTATGATGGTTACTAGGTTTTTTTACAGATTGATATGAGGGGTGTCTGTATTTGTATGTAAGTATGTGTAGCACACACATGCCAGCCTGTCAAACTTGATCAGTTCTCTTCCTGCTTCATACATCACTTTTTAGGGAAAAAAAAATGCTTTATAGATAGAACACTGAGTATGGCTGCAAAAAATACTAGACTGCTGACTTTCTGCAAATACCAATCTATAGATTCAATGGGCACCCCTCAAAGTTTTGAAATTTAAATGCAAGTAAGATAGGGCAGTTGTGTAAAAATGCAGGTGTGTGCATGTCAGTATCTTTTTTTGACAAGACACTTGATTCCCTTCTGTAGGATGATTAGGAACTCATTTTTGCACAAGGCACCAGGATGAAAAAAAAATAAAAATTGAACTCAGGAACAAAGCCTTATCTTTTATCTCTGTGTGGGTACCTGTGCTTTTAAAAATGAT